GAACTGTTAAAAAAAATAAAATTATTAACAAAAGCTTTAATAATTCTGAAGATATACTCGTATATTGCGTAAGTTCCTTCAGAGCCAAAAAATATGTTCCTGTTAAACGAATCAAAATTATTTAAAATATTTAAGTAGATAGGTCGAGAATTAAATGTTGCATACAAATTTTATAATCTGACTTGTCTATTTTATTTTAAAACTGCGTACTCATATGATTCTCTACGCGTTTGTAGGCTTCCCTTGCAAAAATAAGATTTTAATTGCTTACATTCTTTCACTCCTCAGTTTATTGAGCTGAATCGATAAAGCGTGAGTGTCTTGTTTGAATGGGGCTGAATCCATCTTCTGTCAGGATACTTTAAAGTACAGTTATACAATAAACATGAAGGATGTTACTGGAGAATAGTTGTCACTGGTTGAATTAAGTAGAGACAATGGAGGCGCAACAGTTAAACAGGTAATTCTCGGTTAAATGTTCTTCGCTTTGTCGTTAGTTGACGGAATGAATGGACATCATATTTTCCGTCACTTTTAAATGACATTGTCTGCTACTGGCGTGTTGCGTGGATGCAGACCTTTCATTAATTTTTCATGAAATCTTTTATTACTATAACATAACATTACAAGCTATTTATCTTTGTTCCTAGGCTTCAATCGTATTATATACTTTATATAATTTAAAGAAACAATTTTTTAAATGAAAGGATTAATGTTGGATACAATGTCCAGTATTTACAGATTTGACATGCAACATCAAGGTAGTTGTTTGATCTGGATTTACTTTTTCAATATGAAAAAAAAAAAACGATTCAACCCCCGTTGAGTGGAATTTTTGGGTTTTTACGTTGTTACCTTTACAATAGAGAACAATGGAAACTTTTAACTCCATAGGAAATTAGTCTCGAACATTGCCGAAGGCATAAGAAGTTTGCCTCATTCAGTCATTCAGATACGGCGTTGAATAACACGTTTTGAAAAATCTGATGAAAATAACGATCATTAATAATTACTGATTTCATTACTTGATTCATAAAATGATTACTGATATATATAAAATACTTTTTATATTTACGTAAGTATTAACATTAACTGAAATGTTTATAAATGTATATAACTTTTAAATAATAATTATAATAATTAAATAAGCAAGACGTTAAATTTAATTAAAATTTAGTTTTATAATTTTTGTTAATCACATAATCCATTATTCATTTTTTAATCTTATTAATACATATTTGCAAAATTATTAACTTAACAAATCAATCACTTTATGACATTGTCATTTCAAAATTTGTTATTACCTATTTAACACTAAAAAAGTCTGGTAATTGCTATTAAATGTATTTCGTTTAAATTTAGGTTTAGCATATTGATGCAATATTTAGTAAATATAATAACAATAATAGTAACCAATGGTTTGATAATAATTAAAAAAATAAGATAATATTTAGAAAGTAAAATTAATATTTAGTTAGTTTTCGTTATATTAATCGAACGTTTCATTAAAATTATTTCACTAAAGCTTCAGTATCTATTAAAGTTCCTACAACAAGAGTTAATACAAACCAAAGTTAATATCAATACACATTGGTGTATTGATTAGTGATGTATGTATACATTATTGGTTATTATATAATTAATCAAAAATTCTTACCTCATTAGGTCTGTAGCTTGTACTTTTTGCACTCAGTATCTTTGCTTTCTCTTTTCAACGCCCGAATATATATTTATCTCATTTTAAGTGCAAAAATTTTTGTAGTTTTCAAACAACATGGACACATCTTGTCTTAACCATGGTCTTAACAGTTAACTCTTAGGAACTCTAGGAACTATCATCTACTTGATTATTATTATTACCAGACTTTTTTCAGTGAATTTGTTTGTGACTTGTTTCTCTTCTCGGCTCTTGTCAAAGTAGTTATATGTTCATTTAGGTTATTATTTATAATCAGTTAACAATTTTACTGGCTTAGTATCATATCGTTGTGAAAGATGGATCAAGTTACAAGCTATTCACCCTGCTGGATACGCGGCAGTAAAATCGAAGAAATCGTTTGGATCGGCAAGGACGTGCTCGCCTGGTGTACCGGCGTGTACATCGTATTCTTTCACATCGTCAAGAGGCAGCAAACGTTACAATGGTGTTGGAATGATGCGACCGGTGATGGTGCTCGCTGTATATCCGGTCACGTGTCCTCGCCGATTTTCGCCTTCTCCGAGAGATCGCTGAAGCCGCGAATTCTCATCCTCGAGTATCCTTCGATGACGAGAATCTGCGAATGTGTTGGAGATTACGACAGTGGCTACTTAGCGATTGCATTCACACCAGACGATTATCTCGTGTCGCTGGGCTCTTATCCGAATTTCCCGATGATTGTATGGTGCTGGAGAACAGGAGAAAAAATTGTGATTGTCGACACACCTATACGCGACGAGATCGGTCAGATAATCAAGATAACTCAGACAGGACGCATTGTCATCGGTCAAATGGGAAAGACTTGCGGAAAATTGCTCACTTGGGAACTCGACATAATCGATAAAATTATTATTTTAAAAGGCATTTTATTTTTCTTTCCAAGACAATTTTAATCCTTTGTAGATAAGCGTGCCTGTTTAGGCGCACCCCCTTTTATTTTGTAAACTGAGGACTTAATTTTCATGAAACTTGGTAATTTGATAATATTTTACTTTATTCGAATTAAAGTCAAAAATAAAAAATTCAAAATGGTAAATTTAATATGATGGATAGAGTAAAAAAATATAATCTGATGCATATAAAACTCGGTTTCAGAAAATTCCTAGTCGCAATGTAACATCAAATTTATAGTTTTACTTTATTTGAAGTTCATTATTCTACATAAATAGTTAGTTCTAATTTTTAAACTTTGATTTTTAACGGCACTAGATTTTTTTTCATTAAAGATTACTATTCTTTTGAAATTTAACGTTGTAGATTACATTCAAGTACAACACCAAGAACCTCTTAAAACCGAGCTTCACTATAATCAGATTATTTTGCTCACTCATTTGTGTTGTATTTTTTTGAAATTTTTGAATTTTGTGAGCAGAATCAAATTCAGCGATTCCGAAAATCATTAGAAAACAAAGTTTCCTTTAAGTTTCTTTGTTAAAACTCTCGTCCTCAAAGAATTAATTCAGATTTCTAATAAAACAAGCAATTAAAGATTCTAAAATACGTAAAATATTTTCTTTGTAAAGATCATGAAATTAGACTGCCGCAAGAAGCTATGATTCGTGGGATCGATTGGTGTTCGAGTACGCCGAGTGATCCATTATTGGCTATTACTGATATGGACGGTCATGTATATTTGAGCAATTACGACGGTACCAATCTCCTCCGTGTCGTATTTTCGCAACGCTGTGGGATCTGTGCGAACGTTGAGATACCAGCCGTGTGTTGGTTTCGTGGTGGTATCATCCTTAAAACGACCTTCTGTCAGATCCGCTATTTCAAGAAAGAACCGATGACCAATGTCTGGCGCAAACTATGGTACATCAAGTCGATCAACAAGCCTTATATCCTGATTGCGCATCCCTCTAAAAATTGGCTTTTCTATTACACTCTCGAGGGTTACCTGATGCAGATGATATTCCCTGAAGGTGAAGGCACGACGCCAACGATTCATACGTACCTGTACCACGGTGGTAAACACCGTTTTGTCGATTTCTTGCATCCTTGGTGCCATCATCTTGCGACGACAGATGATCTCAAAGAATTGAGTATCCTCGAAAGCTACAGCGGCAGTGAGGTCTCCAAAGTGGAGCTCGATATAGAAGGCAATATATCGGCTCTAGTCTCGCATCCGGACGATCCGTTGATTGTTGTCGTTAGCGATCATGGTGAAATGACAATTCTGGGTGTCACCGATCCGGAGCAACCGATGATACTGGCGCATTTTCGTCTCCAGAGGAAACCCTTAGATCTTATAAAATTTTCCCACTCCGGCAAGTAAGTATGATCTAACAATGAGATAATTCGGGTCTCGATTTCTTAAAAGTTACAGCCATATAAAAGTTAATATAAACTATTAGTAATAATAATAATTCGTAGTTAAGAGCATTTGCCTAATTTTACAAAAATCCTAGTTCCATATCGTTACAAATCGACAAAGTGCATTAATTATACTTTTAATAAATTACAAAAGTATTTATTAAAGAGTATGCTGTTAAACACAATAACATTAAACAATTATGATACGAATTTGGACCGATAAGAATAAATCTAATTAAATAAAAAGAACCTTATTTTCGATCAAAGCGGATTTTAATGCTTTCTGTGTGAATTTATATACATATCTGATTTTGCAAACCGGGCGTCAAAATCTTTTTCGCTATAATAATATTAACACAAATTAAAACTTGCTGTTTTTTTTTGTAAGATATGGCAAACAGAATCTAAAACATGGGAATTCTATATCATATACAATATTTCGCGACTGTGTGATGCTCTATTAAAAAATGAGCATTGACTTTCCGTTTCCATAAGAAGCAACTGACAGCACTCCTCTAAATGCATTTCTGCCGAACGTATTTAGCCATAAGCGAGAGTATAAGCGCTACTAGAATTACACGCGTCTCGATGATCGATTTCTGTTGCCGACAGATTTCTGATCGTCGCACAGAAGGAGACGGGTAATTGTTATTGCGTGAATCTGCAACGCGATGCTCCGTGGGAAGTGGTGGCCCAGCTCCAAGCGAAGGGACGCTTCGCCGACGTGGTGCTGTATGACGATGAGGTGCGCGCGAACCTAAAGGTGCTCGTGCTCCACGCCACATTGTTAGATATCAAAGGAACAACGGTAATCCAATTCCTTCAGTTAAATAACATTTTGTTTTTAACTTTTATATATATCAAAATGTAAATTAATCCATTTCTGTGGTTTAACTGGTTGGTTTCAAAGTAAACAACGTCCATATTAACGCTTGCACTTACAAAGTAGATAACAAATTAAAGGACCTTGCACTATAATTGTATGGAAAATTGAATTTCGGTGAAATGAGTTAGCCTTTACATATAATGTAACTTATAATGTAGTGAACAGAAAATATTATAGACATCAAATTTAATAATGGATAGTTTTTGAGCTGGTGTATCAAAGATATAAAATTTGTGCTTACACAGCATCTTTGAATACTGTTTTCACAGAGACTTGATACAACATAAACCATTGAATCTTGTGTTTACATGTTTTGTTCATCACGTTATAAGCTATAATATTACAGTGGCTGCAAAAGTTTTCGGCCAATATACAATGATAATTTTTGTTTTCAATTTCTTTTTAATTTGTTTAAATTATTATATGTAATCATTATTATATAATAATAAATTCTTGTTATATTCAATTTAAGAACACGATATTTTAAATACTAAAATACTTAAAAAAGTACTTATATGCTTAGATCTTTATTTATAAAGATTCTTTATCTCAGCAATACAATTAATAAAATTACTTATTAGCCGGAAACTTTTGGCAGCAACCGTATATGTGAAAATTAATTATTTTCACCGGGACTCAATTTTCTATACAATTAATGCGAGATCTTTTGAGTCAAATTTAATGCATTTAATTCAAAGAACCTCATACTATGATAACTAAAATAATTAATGTAATATCGCTAAGAATGGTTTAAAATTGAACATTTAATCGATTCTTACGTTTGTAACCAAAAAGTAAATATATAATTATCATTTGAATGATTGCGCATCAAGTACCGTGCGTTTTTTTTATTCTTACTTGCTATTGCAAACATTCCTTTTATTGTTTTAATACATTGTTAAGTTAAATTATTTAACTCCATTCCCGGGAAAAAATGCTATATAAATTAACATATTTTATATATAATTATATATAATTATATATAATTTTACATAAAATATATCAATTTTTTATATAATATATAATTTCATGTAATTATATATAATTATATATGAAATATTTTTTCCTAGGTTGTTTATTAAAATTAACGACATATTGAGTATGAGCTGTAGCAATCTATAAGTATGATTAAAAGTAACTCAAATTGGCTATAATTTGACATTATGAACTTAACAGTACGAGTCGTTCTGCTCGATGGGCCAGCAGCTGCACGTGTACAACGTGTCGTACCTCATCGACACAGATATACGTCTAGTCAACGAGATCATCGACATTGTAACACTGCCCGCAGTCTTTTACGAGTTGTGTCACGCGCCTGGCGATCCTCGACTGCTAATAGGTTCGCCTTATTTCGAACGGCAATTGCACTTGCTGAGGTTGCAACGCTTCGAGTACGCGACCTTGACGGACGTGGTGGTGACGGGCCATCATGTACGGCTCGCTCGTGTCTTCGCTGATCGACGTTGGATTGTCACGTGCGCTTATGACGGATTGGTCATTATTCATGACGGAACGATACGGCAAGTCGTTGCCGTGATACCGGTGCATCACAGACTCGACTCGGGCAACCGGAAGGCTATCATCAGTTCCGACGGTAATACAGTAGTTGCTCTTGGCCATGATGGTTCCTTGATTGCGACGCGCATTCATCGTGAAAGTAAAAAAGTGTGTATTAATAATTGTATAGTTTTTTCACTCTCTAAATCTCGTGGAGTGAAATCCCACTCGAAGAGACTGAAAATTTAGTCTGTCTTGAAAAAAAGAGTGAAAATCTGAACTCTTGAACAAGCGTAATCGTATTTTCACTCTTTTTTCAAGACAGGCTAAATTTTCAATCTCTTCGAGCGAGATTTCACTCTACGAGATTTAGAGAGCATTTTTTAATCAAAGTCTTCGATTTCTCTTTCTTTAAATTCTCTTTCTTCTGATCTACTATATGCTCTTTGCTTTCTATTACTTCTTACTTTTTACCTCTTGCCTTTCTCCCTCTTTATGATTGTTTTATCGAAAATCATGTTTCTTGTAACGTGTTTAAAATGTGTTTTTTGTCTTTTCTGAAATTCATCAGTTTTTTATCTCGAGCGACAGAAAACAAAGAAATACACACGGAATGGGAGTAACGCGTTGCTTGTAATATCGTTATTTTTACTGTTATTTTGTTACAATAACAATTTGATAATGATGTTGCGAATTTTTTTATAACTTTAACGGTAACGCTAAGGTTAAAAAAATCATTCTTAAAAAGTAACTTGTCGCTATTACGCATTATTTATTGAAAACAAATAATTTCTTACTTGTAACGAGTTACTTTTTCATTTAAAAAAAACGCGTAATAGTAACGAGTTTTAGTGAATGAGTATTTTTCAAAAGTGACAATGTCTCAACTCTCAATCTTAGCATTTAGTTAGTTATCGTTATCATAACAAATTGCAATGTCCAAATCATTATTTCCAATTATTTTACCAAATAATTATTACAAAAAGCTTTTAACGGTAAAAATAACGTTATATATTTTCGTCCCTGGCTAAGTCAAATAGAATAAAAGGCAAAAAGGTAAGAGGTAAAAAGTGACAAAAAAATAAAAAATAGGAAGCAAAAAGCACATTGTGATTTCACATTATCTATCCTTACAAAAGGATGACAATTCTTGTTTTTAGTACAGGAGAGTACAGAGTCACTGCCCGCGAATGAAACCAAAAGCGTCTACTCGGTGGACTATGAACAGTACGAAAAAAGAAAAGAAAAGATACTCTTGGATTATACCTCTCTGGACCCAGCAATCCGTGCCTCGTTGACCCGAGCCAGAATAAATTTCCCGGCAACCGATGAGAAAGGATTTGAAACCTGGGAAGAATGGCAGCAGAACATGCAGCTGCGTGAAGAAACGAGATTCTACGCTGCGGAGAAGGCCGTCATTGCGAAGAATCTGGAAGCCTTGAAGGTCACTATCAGACACCTCCTCGACGCCAACGAGACCTATCCAGAGATAGAGAGATTACCGGTGTCCGCGTTTGACCTGAACAAAGCAGGCCGCGATCAGAGATTGAAAACGGCCAAAAACGAACGCGAGGATGCCCGTATGAAACTCGAGCATCACTGTGCCTCGATAAATCGCGTGGCCAGCTGGATAAAGGCGACTTTTTGGGATCCGCAGATCGTGTTAGGTCGCTCGATATTCTCTTTCCATGGTGACATGGAGGTGACGAATTATCCACTGACCGAGGAAGATCCGTACTTCAAGGAGTATTTGCAATTGGCACAATTTAGTAGGGATTCGGTGCGCGGTATCATTTATGACACCTTCCAGCCGTGGTACAACTACACGGACGATCAACTGCAGGTGGAATTGAGCAAACCCGTCCGGGTGTTTCGCGAGCATGAGAGACGCAGGATAGAGCTGCTTCTGGAAGAGGAGGAGCGCGAAATCGATCCTGAGGAACTAGCGGAGCTGCGGGCGGTCGATGGTAGGATGTAATAACTTTCTGTTTCTCTTTCAATAGGTATGTGTGTGTATGTGTGGATCTCGGAGCACTGTGCTTGAATTTCCTGGTTTCCGACAACTGAGGCAATATTTTTTTGTTATTCTTTACGAAAAGTCAGCGCATTTCTTGTGCCGCAAAGATTTTTAATTTAATAGTTACCTGATTTTTTTACGTAAACGTTTATTTTTATGTCCCAATTAAAATTACTATAATAATATATTGTATATATTATTGGTTGCTGTTCGATTTATTAGCATTTGAGAACATTATAAATATGGGTTTAACCACAATTTTCTGAAAAAAGTAAGTAGAAATCAAACAAATATTATAACGAAATAAAATACGTTAAGCAGTTTATTATGACAGTATTTATAAAAAATAAAGATTTTAATTAATATAACGTTTTTTATTGCGGATTTTATTTTCGATGAAATTGGGTATTTAAAGGTTCGTAAAAAATAGTTATTAAAAAAGAAAAAAATATCTCTACAAAACAGTATTTTACAACCATTTAGATTTTTTCACCGCTGGAATATAAAAATATTTCAAATGACTATTCCCAAATTAAATAATGTCCTTTATATTAACGCTTTTTTAATTTGGAAAGGCTACTGTAAAGAAACCTTCAATAAAACGAAAATTTAGAATTAACAGTTTCTAAAAATTAGAAAAGATTTCCTTAAAGAAACCTCGAAATGAAAAGAGAATTTGAATGAATATAAGTTTGAAATTGATAAAAAAAAAGAAATTTGTTTATTTGCTGGAATAAAAATAATACATCTAAATATTAAACGCCAAAAAAGAAGAGTTAATAATTCCAGTTTTACTTTGTATAAAACTACGAATTCTTAGGTTTTTTGACTTTTGCTCGATTAAACCTCACTAATCATCGTGCACTTGTCCGCAGGCATGACAACGCATCAGTTCGTCGAGCAATCGTCTTACTATTACTCGCAGATGGAGTCTTACGGGTTCGCGCACATAACGCTGGACAATCGTTATCTGATGCACGACTATAGAAAGCTCCATGCCTACTTCAACAAGCTCTTCAACGACATGTACGCGACGAAGGAGCGGGAAATGAATGTGATACGGGAGAGGAACGAACGGATACGTTATATAGATTCCGAGCTGAGGATAATGTTCGACCAGAGCGTGCCGCAGGTTCCTGTTGATCCGCAGTGGCATCCCAAGGTAAATACGAGGTGCGAGCACCGCTTTTACTGTGTGTTTGAAAAGCCGAGGCTTTATTTTATTTAAATTATTGCAAGAAAAACGTAAATCGATGTTCTTATGAATAAATTAAAGGAACGAAAGTTTGCTTCATGGAAAAATATACCGTGCTGGCATTGGAAATAGTGGTAAAAGATTTTCAAACTGTAATTCTTACGAAATGGAAAATCGAGTTCTAGACAAGTGTGTTTTTCCATTATTTCTCCATAAAAATCTGAATGCAATAAAATAATAAATTCTTTTTCAAGCGATCACTTAAATGCTATAAAAATTTGTAGCATATTAAGGATTAAGTCTCAAAGTTAACCCTTAGGACACATGATGTGCCTTGCATATTTCTTTTCTTTGAAATGCTAGGAATACTTGGCTAAAATAATCTCTATCCTTTTTTTTTAATGCACAACTTTGCAAATATTTTCCAAAGATGTTGAAATATGTAAGATTCACTTAATTATTTTTATACACTTGTGAAAGTAATGAAAATTAATCCAGATATGAACGACACATCGTATAGTGAGAGATCGGAAAATTATCGTTGTATGTACTAAGGGTTACTTTTTATAAATCTGATTACGAGTAATAGCGATTAGATACATAACGTAAATACAATATCAATTAGGAGAAAGTAGAGAGCATTATTCAAGTACTCCAAGACGAGGTCAAGGCGAAGCCATACGTGTCGCCATCGCAACAGGAAATCCTGGACAGGCAAGCAGTGGAAGCCGAACGAATTAGACAGTTGTTATTGGCCGACGATTTTCGCGACCGCGCCCTGATTAAGATGATGGACGGTATGTTAGAGATTCGTTGGGAAGATACTATAAAGATAGACGTGCACAAGCCTGCATGCATGCTGGAAAAACAGCCGGAGCAGTATACGCCCGACGACATCGCGGCCATAAGGAAGTATGAAGCGGATGTGGAGAGTCTTCGGCTGGAACGTGAGCGTTATAGAAGGATACTCGAAGCTGATTACGTGAAGATCAATGGACTTCTGCAGGAAGGCATCGACAAATTCGACGCCAAGTTGAATGAATTCTTTCAGGTTTCTTGTCGATTGAGAGATTCTAACTTTTAACAATACTATTATATTTTTACTTATATTTTATTTTATTAGATTATATAAAGATTGAGATTAATATTTTTCTTAATTCTTTTATTTTAAAATAAATTATATTATTAATATTATTATATATTTATAATATTTTTTATAATTTTAATAATCATTGTACAGTAAAAAATATTTTATGTTAAAATCGGTCCAGTCTTTGTTAAAATTTTGTGTTACATTTTTAATATATCCCACTTATGTTAATTTAATATAAAGTGATTGTGTTATTTGAATATTTTGTGTTAAATTGATATTTGACTTCTTGGTACTAAAATAACACAGTTTATGAATAAAATGACATAAAAATAATATGTTTTAAAACGTAAATTCTGGAATAAATGAATAAAATACGTCTTAATTTAACATGTTATACTCGCAAATGTTAATTTTACTGAAATATATGCTTTCACAGTTTGCTCACAAATTGTATCGGTGTTACAATGTCTTTGTGTTAATTTTTTTACATAATATTTATACTATTTTCTAATATCCTGTGTTAAATTAATATAAAAATTTGAGTAGACTGTTTAAGACAATTTGACACAAATTTTCGAATAATATAATAATATTTTATAATTATAGTAATAACCTTATACCTATATAATATTCTTGTTATACATATATATTAATCTGATATATTTATCAGATTCTTTAAACTAATGTTTATTTGTAGCTAAAACTAAGAGTCGATGCGGCGATAAATCAATTGAAGCTACGAAACATTCGCGGCCGTATGCGTATCCTCGCACGGATCGAGGGTGTGAAAGAAGAAGACAGGATGAAAAAAGAGATATCCGAGAAACGTCAATACGAAAACACGCTGGAGGAACATGTACAGAAGCTGAACGACGTCTATCAGGATATGCTCGCACAACACGACGCGCTTTGCACTCGTGAGAAAGAGATGATAAAAAAGTTTCAGCATGAATTTGCCGCATTGTCGAAGGTCAACGTCGAGCTTCTCGAACGGCAATACAAGCGAAGACCGCGAGTGTCCTTGAGGAACATCGCTGCCAGCGACCTGCTCAATCTCGCGAAGTATCTTGTACATCATACTAAGTCGGCTTATTTTCCAACCGATTGCGCGGATTATTCAAAGATCCTGGAGAACCTGGACGTGCGACCCAGCGAATTACCGCAGTCGATTGATGCGAGTCACTGGGACCAACTGACGCAATCGCGTCGTCAGAAGATTAACGTCGAGCTAAAGATCAAGGCTCGGCAGCTGGAGATAGCCGCGGTAGAGCGAACGATTAGCGTGTTCGAAGGTAAGATCAATGCATGTAAATCGAATGTGACCCTCCTCAGGGATCGGTTGAAGACAGCGAGGGAGGAGCGGATGATGCGCGAGCAGGATGCGGAGGTGCAACTGGTGCTGAAGAGAGGCCAAGTGGAGCTTGAACTACATGGTGAATGGCACGACGCGGCGGATGCTGTTTTGGTACCTCGCGAAGAAATCGAGAGAGTCAACGAGCACATCTGTATCGCGGGTGCACGTAAAATAGACGTTCTGAAACGTATAATCGATTTCCGCCATGAGATGCTGTCGACCGAATGGGAGCATCGTTGCCTGAGAACGCGCTTCAAGGAGCTGAAGGAGGATCTGCATTTCTTGAAAGACGTCACGGTCACCCGAGACATGCACACCTATTTGAAGAGAAAGGCCAAGGGACTGCGTGACGATAAAACTGCAGTGCACCTCGAGAAGGAGATCGAGGCTACGAAGAAATCTTTGGCTAAAGCTTTGTCCAAAGAGATGAATAAACTCGAGAAACTCCGTCAGAAGATTGCCCGCGTGAAGAAAAAGAATGCTGAGCTCGATCGAGCGGTTACTGAGATGAACGTGGCAAGATGGGAATTGGAGTACAAACGCGACGTCATCGGGGAGATAAGGCAACGCGAGCATACGGACCGAAAGATGCGTCTCTTCAAACAACGATCCGATCTGGTCAGGAAGCTTCAGGAAAATTACGCTGAGTTTCTGGCGTTGCAGACCGAGCACGAGCTATTACGGTTGCGAATATATCCCACCTTGGGTCATTTTCAGACGTTGGACGATAAGGATAAAATTTGAAACAAATAATCATTTATCGATTATTTATCATTCTTAAACATAAGAATTATAAAATTATATAATTTTATTATTTTTAAAAAGAATGAATTTAATTTAAATATGTAACAGTTTAAAAAAAAATTATTTTCAAGATTTAATCCTTTAATAATTTTGTATCCTTTAATAATGTCATGTTTCCGCATTATTTTTTTTAACTTGAAAGTAAATACCAGATTTTTTTTACGTAAACGATCTTCATGTCAATTAATCACTGTCATTGTAATCATCATTTAATCATCATTAACAACATATTGCATATTATTGATTTCGGATTTATTAGTATTTAAGAACACATTACAGATATAGATTTAATCACAATTTTCTGAAAAAAGTAAGTAGAAACTATTAAACGGAATTAATGAGCATATTAAACTACAGTATTTCTCAAAAATAAAGATTTTAATTGATACAACTCTTTTTTATTGCGGTTTTCTATGAAATTGGATATTTTAAGATTTGTAATAGTAGATATAAAGAATAGTTATTAAAAAAGAAAAAATATGTTCAACAATATCCATATACAAAACAATATTTTACAACAATTTACATTTTTTTCACCGCTGGAGTGTAAGATACCCCAGGTGATTATTCCCGGATTAATAAATATAAGTCAATGGGGGAGAGAAGATGATAAAACAGGTCCTTCCACGGCACTTCATGTTTGTTTACTAAGTCCCTGTCACATATTATCTTAATCCTCATCGAGTAATTTAATTAAGTTTATAGATAATCGCGATTCCAGAGAGCTGCAAGCACCAATAACAGAGCTGTGCCACGCCTGTATTTTTCGCGCGCATAAACTTAGCGTAATCTCGCGATCGCTAATTTCGCAATCACGAGGCGGCGGGGCCGGAGAGCCCACCTAAACTCCGCTAAATCACGATCAACGTGGCGGTCGGGATTTTAATCGGCGACGTTTCACTACGATCTTGCAAAGGACAAGCGGCAATTTACGCCGCCGGCATAAATCACCCGGCGACCCGATCTCGATACATAATGGGTGCCGCTCGCGGTCTATGCTTTTTTCCACCATAAATAACAGTACTAATAGTA